CCATAACAATCTGCGATCATACAGGGTGATTCTTGAGCTAGGAAGTTTTGTTGATACTGTGGGAGGGAGCTTATTGACTCAAAATTCACGAGGACTATTTCGAGGAGTGTTTTGCAAAAAAGAAATTGGTACTTACGCCTTGTCTCCACGGGACGATCCACAGGATCCCAAGTTCGAGTCACATGAATGAAACTTCTGGGCTTTTTCCCTGTTAAAAAACTCGACAAAGTGTCTTCTTCTTCCGTTTAAATCGTTCCTTGGACTTCAAAAGGACTCTTAGTTGGTACTATGATTAGTATTGACTAACTCAATATATTTCCCAAATTCGCAAGTGAGATTTTTCCCTGGGACAAATCCCATGAAACGTCCCGTGGAGACAAGGCCAAAGAAGTCATGAAACCAAACAGGAAATACGACGGGTTGAAGTTCAAAAAATGTGGTGTAAAAAATACTTTCGAGGAAACGCTAGTCTGGGCAGCTGACACATACTTGGTAGCTGAAACCAATCCCGGTAGGCAAAATTTAGTGAGACGAGTAATCACAAAAATCTAAAATTGGGTTTTTAGCTCCCTTCAATTCATCGTGAGCGATGTGCAATGTATCAAAGACTGGAAAAAATACTAACTTGATTTAAGCGGAGATACTCTTGAATTCGCTGTCAAGAAGATTTGCACTTAAATCAAAAATAAAATAGCTTGAATCAAGCAGGTCTCTCGACTTCCTTCTTGATGTATAATCTTTTCTCCGGATAATTGTATTGATAGTTACTCCCTCTTGATTCAAGAGGAAATTTTGGCGTCGAATGCAAGTGTATGATTGCTTAAAACAAATCATTCTTCAGTGATTCGCGGAAAGCCAAAGTTTCCGAGGCCAGTGCTGTTCTGACTGCGAACAAATGCAACTAAGTACACGTAGTATTCCCACCTCATGCTTCACCATCTTGCAGTACATTCTTGGATTCTTGATCAGGATTGTCTGTATTGATCAGAAGTAAAGAAACGAGAGAGGCCAGTATTAGAAATAGAGGTCAGCTCATTAGTGTTACGGCTGATTCGATTCCCTAGATCTTCACCTTCAGATAATTACTGCTCGGTATGTGCTGTGCAGTACAAACAGTTTAACACTTGTTCAATTCGTATTAATGAAAATCTAATCAAAAAAGGACATTGTTCTTCATAAAGTCGCAGCTGTGCTGCCGTGCTAAGGAAAAACGCCGTATGAACCTTCAGGCGTTGCCAAATTTCCTTTGATAAAACATGAATTTTCCGAAAAACACATTAAGATTTTTCTTCCAATTTTTCAGATAATTTTGTTCGCAATGCCATCTAAAGCTCCCGAAACTTTCGAAGAAAAATTTTCATAACTTTCCCTCAAGAATGAAAATTTTATTACAGGAAATTTGGCAACTCTCAAATGCTCATACGGCGTTCTTCCTTGGCCCGGCATTAGTGTGCATTTGAGGCTTCCTCGACAGTATTCTTGTTCTCGGTTTTCACGGATTTTTGGGTATTTTAAAAATAACATCGATGGAGAGCCATTAGTGAGAGACGGCTGACTCCTCACCGTTTCCACTCCTCCTCTCCCAAGGAGACATCAGTGCATCATCATAATTATGCACTTGCACCGACTAATGCCGCGAGTCCCTCAGTGGAGACTTAGCCACCTTAAAATGCCCATTTTTGGATTCATGTTTCGTATCCTTGTAGTCAATATTAATCTAAAACATATGGATCTCATTTGTCTGATGAGAAACCAGAATGCACCATGAACCTGCAAGAAAGAGGACCAGGAGAATACGGGAGTGGGCTGAATACTGCCGTGCTAAGGAAGAATGCCGTATGAGCCATCAGACGCTGTCATATCTCCTTAAGTAAAAACCTAATTTACTAGTAAAATCGTAACTAATTTTTTTTCAATTTTTTCTGACAATTTTGTTCGCAATTTCATCTTAAACGTTTGAAATTTTCAAGGAACAATAAGCATAACGTTTTTTAAAATACACATTTTATCCGGGGCAATTTGGCAACTCTCGAATACCCATACGGCGTTCTTTCTTAGCACGGCTGAATAAAGCACGAGAGAGGGGAAACTAAGAAGAAAAAGAAGAGGAAAAAAGGAAGAATGGGAGAGGAGGAAGAATATGTTCAGAAATAAATTGAGAGAGGGAAGCCAAAGTGGAGATAAAAAAGTAAAAGGAAGAGGAGAAAAAGAAAGGGAAGAAAAAGAAGCAAAATAAGAGGAAGAAGAGGAAAAATCAGCGGTAGAGGACAAAGAAAAAGAGTAGGAAGAAGGAAAACAGTATTGAGAAGGATTCAATTTGATCCTCTTTTTTCTTCTTTCTTCTCTTTCCTTCTTCTCTTTCTCTCTTCTCTCTCCTTCTTCTCCTTCTTCCCCCTCTCTCCCTTTATTGCTTATCCCTTTTTTTTCTTCAACGTATCCTAATTTTTCCTCCTCTTCTTCTTCTCCTTATTCTTCTTCAGATTTGAAAGATTCAAGTCTGTCAGACTAAAGATAAAAATTGAATAAGCGGAACACGGAGGAGGCAAGGAGACTTTGAGGTGCAGAGGAAATTCCCAGCCTCTCCCAGTCTTATTTACTTCTGATCTGCGGTTGACGTAACTGCTTTGCATTATTTAATACTTCTGTCTCATAACAAGTTATCCAGTTTGACCCCCCCCCTCCCTTCCTGGATGGTTCCGTATTTACGTTTAAAAGGCTCTGACCTTCCAAGAGCGTCGGAAAAAATAAAATTATACTGCGTTAAACCCTTCGTGAACGAAATTCGGATTTGCACTCATTCAAGTCGAACAGTCAGTTCAATTGGTCGCAAAATGGCGTTTTGATGGTCGCAGCTTAGATAATAGCAATAAAAAAAACAAACAAAAATTATTTATTCGAATGACTAGTTTTTACATTCAATGATGATTAAGATATCGCCCTTTGAAAAATCTGGTGTATATGATGTCATCCATTGCATTGGTGCAGACCGTGGGTTCTTCCTCTTTGGTTTTATTTATTGGACGTATTTCTGCTAAACGGAATTATGTGTTTTAAGACATGATCCTTGAGACCTATAAGAATATATGCATAACAGGGCTTACGTCATAATGCACATAGTTCTGTTTGACAGAAATACGTCCAATTAGCGATACACATTTTTTTACTGGGTGCTTAAAACATGGACGAAATCAAGGTGCTACAGAGTTCCAGTTTTTTTTGGGGGGAAGGGGGAGGGGGGATTTTCATCCGTGCCGAAAGTATTCCATAAAATTATCAAACGAAGAAGTTGGTTTGCTTCATTTTGCAAGTGCAACGATAAACGCGACTATACATTTCAATACATTGCTGTTAAAATATGTATTTTGAAAGTTAAGGCATTGACATTAAAGCCGTATTAAAATTAACAAGGAGAGCTCGTAAATTTGCCCGACGAGCACATACGGCCACTTTCATCGTCATGCGATAGACAACTCAATGATTTTTGCAAGTCATCCTTTCGAGAACCGAGAATTTTATTACATCGAAACCTTTGAGGCATCGTTCAACGCGCAAAGTGAGCTTATGCGGGAAAACCATTCCGTTTTTGGAAATCAACGGCTACCCTCAGAATTTTACGGCGCCAAACAAGGTGCGGTCGCCGACCGCCGGTCGGTGTCAAACTCATGTCAGCGCCTGCAAGACTGTAGGAATACTTCACGCACTGCGCCAAATAGTGCGGTCGGCGTCCAACGCATTTTAGCGCCCACAAGACTGCATGAATACTTCTCGCATTACACCAAATGCAATGCGAGCGTTATTTGAGATAACTATTCGACTATCGGTATAGGCACATTTCCGCTAGCTGGAATGAAGGCGCATCACACTGTGAAGATGACTCTACACTCGACCGCGCTCCCTTCCCTGGCTTGCGCGACACTAAAGTCGCCGCAAAATTAAGACCACGCGTCATTTCTTTTGCCGTCTCTGCCCGGATTTTACCACAATTGAAGTGTAAATAAGTATCATAATTGCAACGCTCCGGCAACTCGGACGATTTTCAAACGATGCAGCAATTCTGAAACTTGATTCGCGTGAAATTAATTTTGGTTTAATGAAAGAAAACAGGACGAACGAAAATATCGCGTCGAAATTTTTTGTGATTTTATTTCAAATCTTTCCGGAAATTTCTCGGAAACTTCTTAAAAAACAGTGTGTAGTTTTTGTTAAAATAAGATTGATTAAAAACAAATTATGAGTAGAGATTTGCAAAGTTGCAATCGGAGAAAAGAACACTTTTTACCGCGTAGAGGCATCTATACACGGCAGGCGTAATGAGATAACTGTTCGACCATGGGTGTAGGCATTATGCCGCTTGCCGGATGGAAGGCGCGTCACACTGCAAAGATGACTCCACCGCGTTCCATTCCCAGGCTCGCGCGACGCTAAAGCCACCGCCACCGTTAAACTAGGATTATGTATCATCATTCCTGACTCTCTGCTCCGGTTTTTACCATAAGTAAAGGGAAAATATGTATCCTCGTTGCAACGACTTAGAAACTCGCATGGTATTTAATTTCTTTTTTGTTACAAAGAAAGAAAATAGAATGATAACAGAAATATCGCGTCAAAATTTTAAATGCTTACACTTGAGATCATTTAAGATAATTCTTGGGGAAAAATTGTGTGTAGTTTTTAAAAAAACGGTGTTAAAAAATAAAATATAAAAATTTGTCCGTAACGTTGTAATTGGAGATAAATGTGCTTTCTTTCGCGTGCACCCGTCATCTTTTGAATCCATACATCTCCTAAATAACTTGAACGTGGTTGTTCTACTACTTTTTACGTGTAGTTTTTCTCAGTGTTTGGAGGTCGCGCAGCGGCCACGGGCCCTAGTAGTTATTGATAGCGGTGGAGATATACTAGAGTATTTTTTGTCAATGTGGTCATTATTTTTCACGCCTATTTATTTATTTGAGGTAGATTTCAATTGTAATCGTTTTTTTTTCCTTTTGATTTTTCAGATACGGTCTCCTAGGTCCTAGTGGATGTGGCAAAACGACACTGCTCAGTTGTATCGTCGGCAGGATACACTTAGATTCAGGGAGTGTCAACCTCAGAATAAGACAAAAAAGTAAATTAGGGTACATGCCACAGGTTCGTTCCTTTCATTTTTACCTGTTTATCTCTGAAATTCCTCGAAAAATAATTATGCCTTAAAAGTAAGAAAATAGAACATGTTTTTCTTGAAATTGAAGCGCTGCATGTATACAAAAAGAATTTTCTGGTCCCGGTATCTCAGGGTCTCCGTTAACGTTTCATTCACTATGATAAAATAGAATGCATGAAATTTGTTAAAACTTTCACTGAATTTTCTTTATGATTTTAAAATATAATTTCAGGAAATTTACCCAATCGTTTCCTCTCTAAAATATACGGTATCAGTGGAGATTATGAGACATTGGAACTAAGAAATGCCCTCTCTAAAACGCCCAATGCCTCGATTTCGCTAAAATTATGCTTATTCTGGGTGTTTCAAAATTATTAACCTGTCCCGTGATCAATTTTTTGAATATTTGGGGCCAACATTATCAAGACCAGATCCGCTGTGCTAAGGAAAAACGCCTTATGAACATTAGAGAGTTACCAAACTTCCGATGAAATTGGTATTTTTCAGGAAAGTTATGAATATTTTCTTTGTAAATTTTCAGATAATTTAGATCTGATCACACATAAAATTCACTGAAAAATTCAGAGAAAAATATTCACAGGTTTCCCTATAAAATATTTTATCGAAGGAAATTTGGCATCGATTGGAAGCTCATAAGTCGTTCTTCCTTAGCGCGGCAGAACTGAAGATTCACAGTTTCATTCAGCTGCTGGAATTGCGAGAAAAATATACTACGCGGGGAGCGGGGCCGAGGAATGGTGGATTAGAAAAATTTAAATAGACGCGGATAAATACAACTGTAGTTATGAGTTATCCTACGAAATTTTTTATAATTTTATGGCGACCCACACAAGCGAAGCGGTTCATTCCACCATAATCGTGCGACTGGTGACCTTATTCCCAGCTCTCTTGTTTTCTTCTTCTTCTCCCTCTGCCAATCTCCTCCTTCAATAACTATAGGCAACACGAAAGAAGAGATTGATAGATTCTTTTAAATTTATAATGACACTTAGTGAACGATAGAGGCAGTTAGCAAATCTCTGAGGTCTAGCTAAATTACAGTGGTTGCAAATCCAACGAAAACAGCATGGGGGCGAAAAGTCAAATAACGCCAGCAGCAAACTAAAGATGAGAGGACCAAACCACGTATCTCAGTTTGCGAATTCGTGCATTCCTCGTTAAATTTAATTTTTATAAATATGGCCTCATCGTTTTTTTTGGCATAAAATTTCATTTGACATCTCGCCGTTCTTTCAACAAGTCTTTTTTGGAAATTATGCGCAAAAAAATTGAACCGTACTATCCTAAAGGAAAAAGACAAAAGAAGAAGAAAAATGAGCAAACGTCCTCAAATACCGCAATCCAAATCCGTGGTTTGGTATAGTTTTACCACCGAAGTATAATAGCTGAAGTTTACTTCGAGATACAAAGGCTCTAACCAGGATTTGTGAGACATTTTAATCGACATCCATTATTTGCACTTTTATCATAGATTTGTCAGATTTTTCGGTGTTTATTTACATTCAGTGGGGGATTCACTCGGTAGTTTTGAAGGGCTTGAAATTAATAAATGTTGATGTTTCTCTCTTGCAGACTCTACAATTGTATGTACAATTAACTATATACGAAAACCTAGCATACTATGGATATGTTTTTGGCATGGACAAAAAAGCAATTCAAGAAAAGGCTGATGAATTATGTACGTTCCTACAACTTCCTCCCCAACACAAACTCGTGAGCAATATCAGGTATGTAAAGCATCCGGTAATTATTTCACAGTACAGTCAGATTAAACCCGAGACGTAAACATGTTTCGTAAAAAAAGTAAAGGAAAAATTGATGCAGAATATGAGATATTTTATGAGCCGCAGGAAGTGGTGGAATACTCGCCACGATAATATACAATAATTTTTGGGCTAGATGGAAACCACCTTTTGAAGTTTGTTTCAAGGTCCAAAGTTAAAATTATTTCATTTACGCGCCATTGGATATCCAGAATTGATGATAAAACATACTCGCCCTCATCAATCTTAAAAGGAACTTGGGTTTTGGGAGAGAGAAGAGAGGAGGCTCACATTTATGACCGTGTGACGGTATTGACATCGTAAAACGGCGGTTAAAGAACGTAACAATATTATTGTGTAATAGTAATGCAGGAAGATGTTATCAAGTATGGATTTATATCATAAATTAAGCTAAGAGTTGAAATTATCGGTAGGAAGAAATATTCCTCTTGATTTTTCACGTGTGAAATCGAATTTTTCCTCGGGTTTTCCGAAAAATTGTCTTCAACTCCGGCAGCCTCTCTCCATGACAAGAGTCATGAATTCTTCTTAATCGTAGTTTTTTTTACCATTTTCCCTTGAGGCGGTGTCCAGGGACTGATGGAATTTTCGACTCAAGCGGCTACCATGGTTCGATTTAGCGAGGTTTCAGTAGCAAGGTTCACTGTATCATGAGTTGAACTCTTAGGTGCCCACTCAAAATCCTTGCTGTTTATTTTGGGTTTCATATACAGCCTCTAAAAATCGTATAAAAAATCAATAAAACTTTTCCAGCAAAATGAAATTTCATCTCGTAAAATTTCACGTAGCATTCCAGATGGAGTCGTATATTAGCGCAAAAGTAAACGGGGAAGTCCAGAAGTGTATGATCTGGATGTAAATTGGCATGAGTCAAAGTTCCGTCGCTTCGTCTCATCAAATTATTCCAAAAACCAGATCCCAGGGTCGATTCATCGATCATTCATTTAGGATTCGCGACCTTTGCCTCGATTACGGTCTCACTCATGGACTCCGTTCTTTATTTTCAATTTGGTCGTTTTCTTTTCCGGAAGCTCTCCTATATATGATTCATTGAATGAATAAGCGTCACATAACTTTGTGAAGTGAGTGTCGTAATTATTCACTTTTCCACTTTTTCCCGCATTCTTTCTTCATCCTGCGTCTAAGTCTCTGCGGAAATTTCCTTCAACTGGACGTATTTCTGTCGCAGGCAAATAGTGAAATCAGGCATTTTGTCAAATGCCTAGGCTGATAGTCAAATTTTGACGGTCCACAAAATTTTATGAATTTATGGCGAAGAGCTCACGATTTTTCACTATTTTTGGAAAAATAATATCATCAAACCTACGAACCCTTTTTGTCTCTTCCTCTTCAACTGCCTCTCATATTTTCAAGTGTTGAAATTCCAAAAATTCTGTATTTTACGACCTGCTGAAAATGTCAAGATCAGTGTCTCTTCAGGAGCTAAAAATTGTTTAAAATACTATTATGTGTGCAAATTTTTACTGAGAATTTTTCTTTTAGGAGCAATGAATTATTTTGTCTGAAATTAGGAGAATAATCAGAATTCTAATCTAAGTTAGAATATTTGACTATTTGCCTAGGCATTTGACAAAATGCCTGATTTTGCTATTTGCCTGCGACATTTCTATCAAACGGAACTCGGTGCATTATGACGTGAGCTCTGTTATGCTCATATTCTTATGGGTCTCAGGGCTCGTGTCTTAATGCAAATAGTTTCGTTTGATAGAAATACATCCAATCTGGGAGGAATCACGACATCTTTGTATTAATCATTAATTTACTCCTCTGCCAGCACTCCTGTACTTTCTTTACGGGAGCAAACAAGTCGTCAACTTTTTCACTTTTTCTTTACCCTTTGTTTAAGTCTCTGCGGCACTTTTCCTTTGCTTGAAAGGATGAACGCATATCGATGGCTAGGGAACAATATCGCTCATCTAAAACTGGCGATTTTGCGGGACTCAGAAGAAACCTTGCCATTTTTGTTAGTTAGAGGTTCGATTTACACTTTTTTTTATACTTTACAGAGTTTTTACAACGAACCCATGCGGAGTCAGAAAAAACTAAAAACATCAGCTTGCGTGTATAACTCTGAAAGAATGTGGCAAAGTTGTTGACTCATTTCCGCTAAAATTGTCAGTTAGGTGGTATTGTTTCTTAGCACTCGACATTCAACTGTACATTATCGGTGTATCATACATTACGTGAAATTTTGGTCAAGAAACATGGATGAGAATGTTTAAATTCGCAACTTGTCTAGTGGTCCATTATCCAGTGAAATATCGATACAAGAATAATGTAGTGACGACCCCCCTGTTCTAAGCTATTGACATGGTCTCCGATCGACAGCCCATTTTGATCGTGGGAACGAAGGTTTAAACGCTTGTCAAAGGCGACAACGTGTCCTCTTCCATTATCACGGAAACAGTAGGTAGAACGCGAAATTCATCCGATTGACCCAGAGGTCCCTTCGATCGCAGAGTTGGACCAGGAATGAAGGCGCTCAGGCTCCTCGTGGAATCAACGAGCTACCTTCAGATCACGCTCTATCGACCAAACGTTTTAGCTGCGAAGATGAGAACGATACGAGACGATTGAGGGGGGGGGGAGCCCATGATGAAGGCGGCGATTGCGCCATCTATAAACTGGACGCGCGGCTAACCGCGGTGATGCCCAATCCAGTGTTGCCAATCAGATGGTAGGGAGGCACATTTTCCCGTTTAAGTATACGGGATGATCCGAGTTTGAGCAGGATATAATATAGTATAATAGAATCGCTCAATTTTTCCTTTGTCTTCTTTTTCTATAGCTTTGTCCATCAATTCCATTAATCAGCCCACTGGTGTAAATATATCATTGTTATGTTCAACCAGTTCCGAGTGATTTTGGTGGGAAAAATTGCATCCTGTAATTATGTCAGTGGCGACACATGAATGATCGATTATTGATATTTCCGCATTTGAAGCCATGGAAAAGAATCGATTATAGTGGTATTCTTTGTGGACACCCCATTTATCGATCCTTTTCTATAGGTTTAAATGGCAGATCAATCGATGTATCGCAAAGCACACCATGCCACGGTTGTCTAGCATGTGGAGCGGTCCATTCGGCAGCTCTGGCTCGACACGGTGGTGTGACTTGGCACAAGGTCGATCTTGGACTTGGACTGCATTCTGGGATCTCATCGGGATCGTATAAAGCTGGCAGGAAAGGAGTCAGGAGTATCTTCGCTCTCATCTCCATGGAAACTTTGGCCCCCCGGTGCCCCCGGATGCCTGTCCTCGGGCAGCGGGCAGCCGGCGCAGAATCTGATGAAAATCTTGCTTCTTATTGTGTAAAGTTACTCTTCGAGGTCCAAGCCAGGGTGCGGCTGAATTTAATAAATTCAACTGATGAATTTCAAAACTAACAAATATGATTCGGAGACATCGGAACAAGACCTTGAACCGTGAGCAAAAATGAGCAGGATCCAAAAGCTCTCGATATTAACACTACAATGATCATTCTAAAACCATCACCTATGTGATGACTTCACGGAGAAAAAAACTTCGTGAGTGGGACCCGAGGTTGAGGTCATATGGATCTCTGAAGTTTTCAGATCACGTTTCTAAAAAGGTCCAGCTGCAGGTCCAGGCAAGAGGTCCAGCTGCCGAAGTTCGGGTCACACATCTGAAGTACTCCGGTACATACATCCGGACGCGAACTTCGGCAGCTGGACCTCAAGTTTTTAGATGCGTGATCAGAAAACTTCAGAGATCCATATGACCTCAACCTCGGGTCCCATGCTTGAAGTTTTTTTCTCCGTGATTCATTTTACTCATCGTAAAATTCGTACTTCGTCACAAGGGTCAGACGGGTTCTCTCTTTTTCCCTCTATCTCTTCCCCTGCAAACGACTATTTAATTTTTTTTTTTTTTTTTTCAATCCGTTGATTCAAACTTGTAATAGATTGATAATTCAATAGACTCAGTTCTTTCTTTGCACAGAGCTGTTAGCTCTTTCTAAGTGATTCAAAACATTTTCCTTCTTTATGAATGAGCATTCATTCATAACATACGGCATTTTTTTTTTGGTGCAATTTTGACCCCTCTCCCCTTTTTTTTAACACTTTTATGACGCGAGTACCTATCCTTCAAAAAGTAAAAGCAAAGAGGATTTCTTTACATCCTGGTAGTTTAACATCCATTTACAAATATCCATTCTGCATCATACGCATTGTATCGACTACGAAGTTTGAAAAACATTCGTTGTCATTTCTTTTTCTCTTTTTCTAAAGAGACGCAAGAATTCTGTGCTTAGTGTTAACTCTCTCGAGCGTTGAAAACAATGGGCGACTAGACAAAATCTGAACTTGAAGAAAACGTCACATGTTTCCTCTCAAAAATCTTAATTGGAATGCAACCATTTATATAACTGCTATTTCGACTTCAGAGTAGATAAAATGGCATATCCCCTAGAATAAAGGGGAACTTGGTCTCTCTACGCTGACTCGGAGACTTTAGTGCCAGAGTAGAAAAGTTAGATGGAGACCGCGATAAGGCATACATTAAGATAAGTTCTTTCTTTGAGTCTCACAATTCAAAAACTCAAAATAACCGGCATATTGGCGCAGGTGCTCAATGAGAAAAAAACCATGGAACTAAATGTGGAAAGCTAGAAAATTAAAGGTGTTGGATGAGAGGCGCTTTATAGGTATATATTTTTAAAAGTGAAAAAAAGTTAAAAATTGTGAGCATTGATTTTATGCTTTTTATGAAGCTCTTAGACTAAGGATGTCTTAGACACATCAAGATAAAATAGACCACAAAACAAGATCATAAATAGAAGGAAACGTAGCATGCCGTTTCTTGAAAATCTTACGTAGAAAACGACTCATTTTATCATTGTTAATTGTGAACAACTATATCTTATCTAGGAGTTTATTTCTAGACTTCCCTGATTCGTATTTTATTTTCCTTGTGAATTTCGAAGAGGAAGCACGTTATGTGGGATTTTTAACCATACCTCGTCTAGTGGCCCATTACCCATCCTACATTAGATGCAACAATTTTCCAATCTAAATCAGAGGGGTCCAATTCAGCGATCTTGATAACAGAGACCTCGAAAGCGCATAGACAATTTATCTTATAATCTTCGCACTTCGCTTCAACTATTATTAGATATTTCTTCAAATGCCTAACGAACGCAATTACGATTCTCGCATTTATAGAGGGTATAAAAGATAGGATTAGCTGCCAGCCACCTATGGAAAGTTCTGCGGTTGAATTTAGCAACAACAAAAATAAATTACATCCCACAATATCCACGATGAAAGAAGGTCATTGCCGCATTACTCTCACTATCGCATTTGCCTCATATTGCGCGTCGCTCCTCTGACGTAAGGGCATATCTCAATTTCACATGAGTCCCGGAATGCATAGAGTCATATGGGGAACAGTGTTCACGTGAGAATTGAGATACGCCCTTACGTCAGAAGAGCGAAGAACTGAGGTTCACATGGATCTGGGCACAATAAGCAAAGTACGGAATGAAAGGATAACTAAGTCATGGTAAAACTTAAAAAGCGCGCATCTCGACTGCGGCGTTGCAAAAATGATCCTCTTATTTCATCTTTGCGAGGGAATATATCCTGATTTTTTCGCTTGTAATTTTAAGAAAATACCATGGAAAGGGGGAAAATCAATGGCGCAAAATTCTCGCCAATGACAATGATCGGTCGTCGAAGACGAGGCATTTTCAATGCATTTAAAAGCAGAATTTCTGAAATGTGAAAACCCGTGATTCGTGAGGCGCTGTGGTTACATTGTCAGTGAAAGTCATCATAAAATTGGGATCGATTCTCAATAGGAAGAATTTTGAATTCAGATGCACTTTTGTGAGAAATCGTCGTTGAAATTGGACTACATTTTGAATTATTTATTGTGTTCTTCGTTTTTTGCGTAAAATTTTGACCGGAAAGCGCATGTTTCCGCACATGATCGTAGAGTGTTAGAGGCTTAAATAGGTCGTATTCTTTTTTTTATGCGGATACTGTATAATTTTTATTATCTTTTCAGGAAGTTTATTTTATATTTACTAAATTTAATTTCAAGAATGCAACTATATTTTATCAATCGAAACTTTAAAGAGCATTTCATCTGGCCAATTTTTGCATGTAAGCTGAAAACTAATAAATGTCTACCCATTTTGTTACAGTGGAGGACAACAACGAAGGGTTTCTTTCGCAGTGGCTTTACTACACGACCCAGAGCTACTTATTTTAGACGAACCAACCGTAGGATTAGATCCTGTTTTAGCGAATAAGTAAGCATCATTACCCTGTTTTTATTCAAATATTTATAACCGCGTACGCTTCCAGTAGAATTTTGTAGTGCTTCCACCTCCTTGAATTATTGAATGTGCCTAATGTGATGAAACCCTCTTGGTTCTTAGGGGTGCATACTTCAATACTTCATTCCCACATTACATCTCCGCGGTATACCTACATATTTGCGCTTTTTGTTGATAGAAAAAGTATTGTCAAAGAAGAAAAGAGAATCAAAACAAGACACTTATTCAAATTTTTAAAAACGGCGAGAAATTCACTTAAAATAAATATAAAAAAAAATTATTTTCATTTTGTTCAGTTTATTTGCGAGTAGGAAGCCCGTATTACAGGCATGGAAAACGGTTTGATTTCATCTCCAAGTTAGATCCGAAAAATTTTAGTATGGTTGCAGTGGCGTGGCATGCTTTGCGATACAATCAATTGATCGGCCATTTAAACCTATAGAATAGTATCGATAAACAGGGTGTTCGCAGCGAAAACCTTCATAATCGATTCTTTACCACAGCTTCAAATGGGTAAGTATCGATAGATCGCAAAGCACTCCACGCTACTGTATGCTTGATTAAGGCTCGCCGCACGGAGGAACGAGTCTTTGGAAAAGGTCCGACGTACAATTTTTGACAACAATTTTAAAATTTTACGTTTATGTCGTCACAATTTTAATTATATGGAGTGCTCTCAATACAAATTTCACAAGAAAACCAATGGAACCACTTTTAGAACCTCAAAGTTTTGCATAAATGGAGTTATAAGCTTTTACAATCTCCAAATATTGTCCGACCTCTCCCATTGAATCGATCCAATGTGCGCCGCTTAGTACTTTTCAATGAAAAAACTTTAGCTATGATGTTTGGTTTCTAACCCTGTTTTAGAAATCTATTTCGTAATCCTCGACTGCTTGAGATTCTAATGCAGATATTTTCCTCTTTTCCAGTATATGGGAGAGATTACTAGAAATGACAAAACACGGTAAAACAATAATTATAACGACCCATTACATAGAGGAGGCTAAGAACGCACACCAGGTACGTAGTTAGCGAAATTGCCTCAACGAAAGATATCAACTCGCCATATGTGTCAATCAATTTTCGATTACGTAACATATTGTTAACACTGTATTAACAAGTATGCCAATTTTTATGAACATAGAACTCACTTAACAACAATGTAAGCCAAAGTAATTGATGCTGTTGGGAAATTATTTGAAGTTTAATCCATGGGCAGATAATAAGATTAATAACTTAATCTAGTATTTAATCTATGTTTTTCCTCATGTTATAACTAATTTACTTAGTCACCCGGATGGATTCTTTCGACCTTATTTCGCTCACATGATTCGCAAGAAAATTAAAAAAAAAAAAAAAAAAAAAAAAAAAAAAAAAAAAAAAAAAAAATTGAGTGGAAACATAAGAATGCATTCGAGGATACAAGTTTAGCGTTTCTTGTCCTCGGCAACTCCTGATATTACTATTCTACATTTCTAGCTAATGATTTGGACCCATAAATTCAACCAGTAAATCTTTAGTATAATAATTGTCGACGAATGACTAATGACTGATGGTGGAAAACTGAGTTTTAGTCGCCCTAAAACTTTTCAAGAGGTAAAAAATTCACAGCGTCGTCCGATCGACCTAGAACGGTGGCTTTGATTGAGTTATTAAGTTTTTTATGTAGAATATATCTGCAGAAGGTTTGATGAATGGTTCTGATCGAATTTTCGTGCTAAACCGGGATTTTCAACTTCATAGAAACATTTTTCTCAGCATTATAGTCTATTTTACGGGAGTAAATGTTGAGTGTTTTCCTCATTCAAAATTCTTATATTCTTTTTTGACTTCTCCTACACGCATTGTTGGAAAAAATTAATCTATTTTCAAAAGTATAGTCATTTGCAATGCAACTATCTGTTAGCGTGCTCCATCCAGGCGCTTCCGCCAACATTCTTTACGAACTAAATGCAACGAGGCATCCAGAGGCAGCATGTAGCGTGACTTGAAGTTGATATTAACAACTTAATGCTACTACTTTTCCCACTCTACAGGTGTAGAGAATAAACATATGGTGCATAATGAAAAACATGAAAAAGCAACAGTATTTTCTGAATTTGTTAAACTTTAAGTTTAAGTAGACTTGTCCGTCTCATTTCTAAAAGCGTATTTTTTAGTTGAAGTCATTTATTTCACGCATCGTATGCGTGCAATCGACCAGTAAATCCTGATTTTTCAATGCCAATTTGGATGTCTTTTACAGATTGGATTGATGCGTGGTGGCGTTCTCTTAGCAGAAGAATCTCCAAGTTCGCTCATGGCAAACTACAATTGCTCATCCTTAGAAGAAGTATTCTTAAAACTTAGTTATAAGCAAGAAACTCAACAGTCACAGGTAATTATAGGATATACCTTTCGATACTAGGGTACTACCTCATGTACAAGGGAAGATTTTTAGGGCATATAAGTACGAAACTCACAAGTCGAGTTATAAAAATGGAATACAATCTGGTAGCAGAATATTTTGAACCAGAGCCGATTTTAAAGTGCTAACGAAATTATAGCTTGATTTTAGTAAATATGCGCCTGGAACTAGATATCCTAGGTCCATTCATCTGGATCAAAAAGTCGATTTTTTCCAGTTTTTAGTAATGTTAAAGGATAATCAAGCTGCCTATTGCAAAATTCCAAATTGAGATGAGACGGGCGAATGAAGTACTACTATGAACTAAAAGATGTTTGAATAAAACAGTTTTATTCTTTAATGATGATAGGACTGTTCCAAAAGGTCTATAGTTTTTATGTTTTTTTTTATTAACTTCTCCTTCATTGTACATTGTGAGGTTTATAAAATTGTTTTAATACTTATATTAATCGCTGTTTTGTTCAATTGTCGGAACCAATGACTAGCCGAAAAAATGTATGTGGTTTGTTGCCTTAGACAGAACTTGATTCTCTCCTGACCATAATTTCCATTTGAACCGAAGTATGTCTGAAACGTTTGACCAAGTTTTAATCAAAGACGTAAGACTTCATACCTGGAGTGATTTTTATTAAATTACTTTAAACCTAAAAAGATATAATCCTTATGCTCAAACGCAATGATGATAGCTTTGGAATCATTTTGTTTCAGCCACAACCAATAGAGGAATTTACCATAGCAGAAAAGCCACCACCTTTACCTTTAGAAGACACTTCCGTGTTTCGTTTCACTAGGTTCTATGCAACGTTCATGAAATTGTTATACTTATCACGGAGAGAGCTTAGGTAAGTTGTATTGGACTCTTTCTTCAGAATTCACGATATCACGATATTCTTCTTTCCTTTCTCTTTCTAGTCTGGATTCTTGAATGGTCATTGAATGACCTCGATCAATGAATTCCTATCTCAGCAATGCAATTTATCGATTCAATCGATGACAATTCAACAATCGACCCGCAGATCTGAAGCATTGAAAGCATCGCGCAGCCAGATATTTATGATTTCAGTCAAAAAATGTGCGGATGGGAATTTCACTTTTTAGGGAAAAGCATTCCCTCGTTTAAAAATTTAAAAAAGGGGAGAACGGGCTGATGTGTAATGAAGTTTGGCCGGAAATTTTTGATTTATGAATTTATTTTCTCATATTGTGCATCGACGGTGAGACTGCAAAAGTGTGTACCTCGGTTACGTTGTTTAAACATGTCCACTACTATTTTATATTTTGAAAAGAGACCGAGCCGACATCGTGGCTTGACATTTTTACCGATTATTCTTCACACTGAGAATAATGGCGTAGCGTGCTTATATATCGATTGATCTGTCATTTAAAGCTTTGGGGAAGGATCGATAAAGCGTTCGCAACGAACACCTTAATAAAGATTCTTCACCATAGCTTCAAATAGGGAAATTACTAGAGCGGTAGCGACCCCGTCAAGCCTGTAGATATCGATTCCGATCATTCGCACGCTTCGCCACTGACAGAGAAGAAAACTCACTTCGAAATGTTTGAGAAAAGACGATCAGTAGTTTTCCACGTAGAAAATTAAGTATGACATTGGAAAAAAACTTCAATCGTATGAACCGAATGCACGATGTTCGACATCGGCCGTATTTTCCGGTTCATGTAACCGCTCTCTCGGTTCTGGAAACTATGTCCGCGGTTCATGCAAACGAGCTTTTTCGTTAGTTTTGTTCGGTTTGAATGCTTCGGTTCTGGGAACCGTATCCTCGGTTCATGCAACCGAGCATTCGAACCGAACAGAACTAACGAAAAAGCTCGGTTGCATGCACCGCGGACACGGTTCACAGAACCGAGAGAGTGGTCGCATGAACCAAACAATACGGCCAATATTGAACACCATACATTTGGTTCACATGACCGAACTTTTTTTCACAGTACAGGGAGTCTGCAAAGCCGCACTGCCGTTCTAAGGAAAAACGCCTTATGAGCCATCAAGCATTGCCAAATTTCCCCTGGCAAATCACTAATTTTCAGGCAAATTTTTGAATGTATGTCTACCAATATCTCCGATAATTTTGTCTGTAATTTGATCTAAAACGTCTGAAAATTTCAAGGAAAAATATTCATAATTTCCCTCAAAAATAAGCATTATATCGAAAAGGAAATTTGGCAACTCTCGAATGTTCATACGGCGTTCTTCCTTAGTACGGCAGCACAGGCCGAGAAACGTATTTCTGTCCATATATTCGCCATTGATTTAGGCGCGAGGTGTCTGAGGGGGTTTAGGAGGTGAATACCCTAGTGTGCTCATAGACGATTACATGTTTTCATTTTTGTTTGCAGATTCGTTGCTTTCCTGATCTGTCTACCTCTAGCTCAATCCGTGTTCTTCAACTTGGCCATCGGGACGGACCCGACTGATCTCAAAATTGGCATAGTCGACGACGAGCTGAGCCATGGGCTCCGCGAGTGTCGGATGAGCCGAAATAATCATTGCGCCTACAACTACACCGAGGACCTCAAGCTAAGCTGTCTCTATTTGGACGAACTCGAGAAGAAAAATTTCAAACTGGTGAGTTCAAAAAAATCCCATATCGACGGCCGAACTGCAAAAATGCCTATCTCCCGGTGTTTCGAAATCTCCGCTCCTATTTTATCTCATAAAGGGAGACCAAACCAACATCATGCCTTGATATTTTCACAGAATATTTCTCATGAAGAGGAGGAAAATCACTGACATTTTCAAATCATGACGTTCAGTAGTTTTCCACGTAGTGAATAAGCTATGACAGGAAAACTGGAACACCGCAAACCGAGATAAGCATCTTTGAAGTTTCATCATCGATATTTAATTTTAAGTAAGGAGGAATAACTCTTTACCTTAAACTTTAACCGTAAGCTTTAAATATAAACGAATGGACTCAATTGTGTACATTTTTCACAAATATACGAGTTACTGTTTATGAAGAAATTTTTTTGCATATGCCGCGAAATAATGTTCATTATTTATCTTTCAAATAAATAATTGAGGACAAGAAATCTGCGACGCCCCGAATCGAGATACATCTTTTTTTACTATAACCATTGATGATGTGGCCTTTTATCGCTCAATTGACGTTCAAAAGTTCAAGCAAAATATTTTTGAATAATAATAAAGCCACTACGAATGTTAGAATCATTATGGTTTACTTTCTTAGTTTATCGTTTAAGTCTCTGGGCTCAGCCGCCAATCAGTTTTCAGTATAAATCTGTAATAGAGCTGTTTGCTACACAATGAAATTATTTTTGAACAATAAAATTTGCAATGTGGGTGATGAAACCATCATGGTTTACTTTCTTAGTCTATCGTTAAAGTTTCTGAGCTCATCGCCCGCCGTTTAGCTTTAGCCGCTTATCATCTTATATTAGAACTATATTTGGTGCTCAATGTTTTTTTTTGACTATAACATTCGCAATAAGCTGAGCTAGCCGCATATCTCCCTTTGTCGATCTAAAATTCTAAAGAGTTCGGACTGAAGCATGTTTCCTTGAAGTAATGAAATTTTTCCAACTCTTAATATCAGGAACATTTTTTTACGATCAGGCTACTCTCAACACAATTTTACTGAGCGTTAATAATTTGTCTAAATTACGAATTCGTTGAGGAAATCTGCAGTGTGGGGTGTTTGTGAGTGTGTGTTTATAAAATATCCAACGAAGATAGACACACCATATAGACGTATTTATGTTAAAAGGAACTATATGCCTCACGCAAACCTCATGCACATAGTTCCTTTTAGCATAAATACGTCCATATAAGATGGCATGAACCAATAAAATCCACCTCGCGTGTGCACTAAAACCGCGGGCGCCTTTATTGTCAGTTTTTGGATAGAAAATTGGCGGATTTACTTCTGCTTTAATATGAATTTCAATCCTTAGATTAAAATCGGCAACTGTGAATACACATAAATTCTTGGCATTCTACGATCTCATAGTTATTTAAATATTCAGAGGCATATTATATCCAATTATCTGTCCACAATTTAGTACATATTAGGTCAAAGGAGAGGAGAGAAGAAAACGTCAAAAAATAGGAATGCAAAAAAAAAACATAAAAAAATCATCGCTCCTGATGAGACTGGTTCTGAATTGAAAAATAGAATGGATTTCTTTAATGAACCCGTAATCGTTATATCATATCCGCAATCCCCTTTTCATTCATGATTTTCCGAGGTCAATGTTTGCGGTTCACGCCGGCGTGCTTACTTATAATATTTAACCATTTTGCAAGAAGTTCACTTGAGCTCAACTCGGGTTTCCATGGGAACATGTTTCAATGGGACCGTTTTGACAAGGAGGTCTACGTTGAATATATTTTACCGATACAATGCTCATAATCTGTTTCAAAACTGAGTGATAACGCCTGACTAAGTCATTTCACACAAGCTGATTGCGGTAGACGCACGGGTCGTAAGACAGTCTGTTGGAGTTTTTTGCCAACGTGCGGTATAAATTCAGCATAAAACTGACAATCTCAATACAGAGGGAAAAAGCTCATATGAGCACAGTCTGCATTTGCCTCCCTGAATGGACGTAACTGGTGTTGCATACCAAACAGCATATCGACGGTGAAACTACCAAACCACGTATCTCGTTTGCGGTGTTTAAAAATCTACGCTCACATTTTATTTTTTTGAAGTAGACCAAATCAATATCATTCCTTGAAATTTTCACGGAATTTTCTCCGCACAAAGAGGAAAAATCACAAAAATTTTCAAGACTGGATGTTAAGTCGTTTTTCATTTAAAAAATAAAGTATGACAGGAAGTCTGCGACGTCGCAAACCGAGATACGTGGTTTGGTAGTTTCACCGTCGATATCTCTTTGGGGGAAAACTGCGCTCATATGAGCTTTTTCCCTCTGTATTGAGATTTTCGGTTTTATGCAGAATTTTGAACGCACGTTGGCAAAAAACTCCAACATACTGTCTTAAGTCATTTCAGTTAAGCTTCAACGCTTTTCCTGGCTCATCTCTAGGTGTAATTACGACCTTTCGTCCGCCAAGCAACTTTATGATTCCTGAGATGACTATACTAAATCAGGAATGGATTCCTTAGTGTGACTACTACCTCTATCAAAGTACTCTGTTGTTCATCCTGTAGCCTCAATTCACCTCTTTTTTCCTGTAATTTAGGTTTTCGATTTATATAAAATCCTGCAGACTTGCAATTGGACGTATTCATGGTAAAAGGAACTATGTGGAATTTGAAAGATGGGGTGTGCTCCTGGAAGCTGGATAAGAAACAATGTAAAATTGGATATAGTTCCTTTTGAGAAAATGGAGAAGCGGGATTTTCAATTAAATGAAAAGGAACTGAGCGCTAACTCGTGAGCCGTGGGCATGTGACAAGAGCGTTGTGGACAGGGCTCATGAATTAGAGACTGAAGACCTAGTCGTCGTCGCTCGTGTCACGCCTCGTCGCGTCCGGTCCTCACCGCGCTGACGTCACCGGCGCTTTTAAAGTCCCATTCATTCTTGTGGCCCTCAACTAACAAGCACACGCCATCTTCCCACTTGCACATAGCTCCGTTTAGCGTAAATACGTCCAATTTATCCCTTGTTCTTTTCGCACGTGCATCGAGAGGAGCCTTCTCGCGTCATCCTTGAATTCATTTACCCTCGGTATTTTCCAGATCGAGTTCGACGATATAGTGTCGGGGAAGAAGGCAATCAAATCAAGCGATCAAACCTGGGCCCTCATCCATTTCCCTCGAAACTACTCTGAGGCGCTGTCCCAGCGAGTCAACGACGGCCATGATGCGTCTGGTGAAGCACTTTTCCATAGCTCTGTCGACGTATGGGTTGATCTTTCAAGTGAGTATGAACAGCGATCCTTCACCCGAAATTAGTGCGTCAACAAAGTATCTTCATCTAGGAAATGATCGAAGTACCTGATATCTTTCTTTTTTTCCTGTTTACTTAGATTATCCAGACGACGATGCGCATTTCCAGTTTTGTAAAGCTCATCCTCAGGTCATTAAACGTTTTTTGACGGATCACTCCGCACGTCACATTCAAAAACGAAAATGTATAAAACGAATGGAAACCGAAAAACTTTAAAGGGAATGTAAAACGGGAAATAACGATAAATAATCACGGTTGCTCCGAGGCTCAACTTAACAGGTCAACTGTGATAACGTTCCGCCTGCGCGTGCTCCATGTTTTTGCATAAAAGTGGGGGGGGGGGGGTTCGAGTTAGAACAAGTAAGATATCAGGTAAATACGCTGTTTTTCCGATAAAGTAATAAGCATGTTCAACCTACAAAATTTTCATAATGTTTTTGTGGCTCGATCATCATTATAAATTAATATAAATGATAGAATGCACCAGTGACACATTTTTAGAATGTTCCGAAAATGTGCTGTGCTGTCTGAGCACATGCCACTTTTTCTTGACTTTTCTTACAATTGACGGTTTATTGGACGAATTTCTGCCAAACGGCACTATGTGAATTATGACGTGAGCCCTGTTATGTATATATTCATTATTGGTCTCAGGACTCATGTCTTAATGCACATAATTCTGTTTGGCAGAAATACGTCCTATTATTCCCCCCTCTATTCTCATGTTGATTCAATGTTTGCAAATGGAGTTATCATTACATTGACATTAGTCTTCTTATTCAGCCACCAGTTTGCGCGCGTCTCAATCTTGAGCACACAGGTCATTAGGAAATCATTTTGAAAATATGCCGCCTCAATGGACGAGGAAAAATAATAAAGATGAATTGGATTGCATTCTGCAATAAGGAACCACTATTTCTGGCCAATTTTAGAAACAACATACATATGCCATTGGTTTCCCTATGCAAATATGTGCTCTTGTGGGAGAACTGTTCCGTATTGCAAAATGTAATCCAATTAAGCATAAATAAAACTTAATCCCCTACTTTGTAACACTGCTCCCTGCGAAAGTGTTCATGAAGGTATCTGTGCAAAATGTAAGGATTCTCAACTTTTTGTTCATTCGGACGTGTTTATGCTAAAAGGAACTGCGAGCTGATTGTTGAAATTGATAGACAAAGAAGACATAGAGATTATGGAGGCGGAGGGGTCCTATTGGTTGAAATGGGTGGTTCCCATAGACTAAGGGAGAAAATGATGGACTAACTACAGGTTTTCTCGTGAGTTGCCGTGAGTAAGTCTATTACCTACCTCCTTTGTCCATTGCAATCACCTGCTTCCACCAACAGGATCCCTCCATATCCCTTTTGTCTTCTTTGTCTATAGCTTTTTCTATCAACTTCGACAATAACCTCCGTGAAGACGTTCGAGGAAGATGAGGCGTGCTCGTTTGAGCTGCATAAGAAACAATGTGGAAACGGGCATGATTTCTTTTGTAAAAAATAGAGAAATGGGATTTGACATTAAATCAAAAAGAACTAAGCGCCAACATATGCTAACTCATGAGCCATGGGCAGGTGACAGCGTTGTGGACAGAGGTCATGAGTTAAATAGTTCCACCACCGATCTCCTCGACGTTTGCAGGCCCGGTCGTCGCTGCTGACGTCACTGGCGCATTGTAATTCCCATTCACTCTTATGGCCCTCAACTAAAGAGCTCATTCCTTTTTTTCCACCCATCTCTAGTTCTTTTTAGCTCAAAAAAGTCCATGTGATCTCAAGGTTTAATGTTCTTTTATATTATCCTGATTTTGATGCCATTAGATCAATACATCGGAAATATGGTGAGGAGAGATATCTATTACGCGACCCAAAATTTTCTACAATCAATCTTCATGGTGTGCGGAGACTCACCGCGGCTTGGAAGTTTACCAATCGTTGTAAGTAAAATTATAAATAGACGTTATTAGTGTGAAGGCCTAGGTACACACGGCGATTAATCGCCGCGAGTGAAAGACGAAAGCCAATGGAGAGCCTTGATTTCGATATGTCGACGTTGATGATTCGAAATCAAGGCTTTTCATTGGCTTTCGTCTTCCACTCGCGGCGATTAATCGCCGTGTGTATCTAGGCCTTTACGCCGTGTATACATATAAGCGATAGATATCAATTTATTCTTATTGTTAGCAATGAAAGAGGTTAAGTCATTATAACATTTTGGCTCCAATTTGATATAATGGAGAATCCTCGTGGTGAACTCAATGATGGTGATACTACATGAAGGTACTGCCGTGCTCAGGAAAAATGCCGTATGAACTTTCAGGCGTTGCCAAAGTTCATTTGGTAAAAAAGGAATTTTCGGGAAATTCTGTATATCGACGCGCGGTGCAAGTCGGCAATCACATAACTCATTTGCGGTGTCTGAAAATCTCCGCAACTATGTTATTTTTTTAAAGGAGAACAAATGGACATCATTCCTTGAAGTTTTTGCAGAAGTTTCCTCGCACATAGAAGAAAAATCACGGAAGTTTTAAAGAGTTACCGTTGGGTAGTTTTCCGTTTAAAAAATAAAGTATGACAGGAAGTCTGCGACGTCGCAAACCGAGTTATGTGATTGCCGACTTTCACCGTCGATATTTTTCTTCCTCCAATTTTTCAGATAATTTGGTTCGCAATTTCACCTAAAGTTCCTGAAAATTATAAGGGAAAATATTCATGACTTTCTTTAAAAATAACTATTTTCTGAGAGGAAATTTGGCAACTCTCGAGTGTTCATACGGCGTTTCTCCTTAGGACGGTAGAATACCGGAGAGGCTCTATTCAAGGCATTTTGTGCAATGTAGCAGTCTGCTTTTCCCAATATACAAAAAATGCACTGCACATAAAATCTTTACGACATCAGTTTAACCTCCCATTCAATTTCGAAATATATCACATGGATGACCGAAGTGCGAAACCAAGTAGATATCTTCATTGCTGTGTTCTGGAATTGCCGCTCCTGCTTGATTTTTTCTGAGAGGAGCAAGCAAAATTTATCACTTGAAATCTATACAAAATATTCTGCTAACAGAGTAGAGGTATCAAGGTAATTTTCAAGAACTTCCAAAACTTCCCAAAGAGAAAATAAATTTTGACAGGAAATCTGCAACTTCGCAAACAAGGATAAGCGGTTTCGCACTTTGAACATCAATATATATCTCCACAATTTTAGAATTATATGATTGAAATATCTGTAAGTAGAATGTATGGAACGTTTAAGGACATTTCTTTAGATTTGAATTCCTTAGGGAGCAATATCTACGGAGTTGGAATGTAATTGGTTTCTCCATTAGTCCGAAAAATAAGAGCTTTTCCTCTAAATTTGCCCCCTCTTGCTGTCCAAGATTCTAAAAACGGGCCCTGTGGAGATGGGCATATTTGAAAAATGTGTCCGGACTCGGAACGGCAACTATTTAAGTATGTGTATCGTGGGGTTGCATACACACATTATTGAAGGCGATTCTGCCGAGGCGCGCGACATTCGCCACTTTTCACTCTTGGAATTGAACATTAATATCCCACCGTGTATAAATGAGATTTTTTCTTTCCCCTTTTTCACTAAACAGTAACGTAATGATTGACAGAGCAGAGGTTTCCGATAGAAAAAAAATCATCGCAAAAACTTTGGGTCAAACTTATTTGGCTGACATCGGGTAAAAAGGCTCCATATTTTTTGGCTCGGAATTGATCATTGGCGGGAGGTGCTTTGCGATATCGATTCCTCTGCCATTCAAACTTAAAATGGGGACATAATTTATAATAAAGTACACAATTGCATTCTTAAAAATTCTTAAAAATTTGCATGTTTTTTTTTCATTTTTTATTTGTTTGAGGAGGTTATACTTAAACCACGACGTGCTTTCAGCTGCGGTTAAAGAAAATTAAATATGCGATTTCTTAAATTTCTTTTCAGTTCAATGAGCCGATCCATGACATAGGCACTCCTGGATTTATTCATTTTGCGTCGGTAGCGTTCATCATTCTGTGAGTATTTCAACTAATTTCATGCCCTTTTATTCGTGTTGAATGCTACATCAAGTTCAGTTTTTCTTTCCCTGTCTAGTGATCATTTAAATCTAAAATCCCCGCTATAACCGGACATTCAATTTCACTGACTCATTCTTTCGGATCATTTTCATTCAAAATGAGTATACGTGGCAAGGAATTTTTGCAGGGGTTTAGAATAGATATTCATGGGTAAAATTTCGTGAAAAAGCCAGAAAATTTACTAATAAGTTCAAAAAGTCATTTCTAGGGGAGAAAAATCTAATTAAGGTCTTGCAGCAAAAAATATGAACCCAAAAACGGTTTTCAAGGGGTGAGTCTGAGTCTATGATATGTGTGGACTTAAAATCGTGGAAAATCAAAATCTTGGCTGATCCTAATTTCGAGATACCGCAATTTTAAATTTTCATACGGAATGCAAGTTTTTCACTGATTTTGATCATATATGTAAAGTCGCTTTACAACGCACTCTGGCGTTCTACGACACCCAAACGCCACATATGCCTGTCTTCCCAGAGGTTATCGGGCAACTGACACCGCAACATCTCTTCGTCAACGCCCTGCCGCCAACCCTTTATTACGGGACGTCCTCGTCGCCACCTCCCAGGTGGTACCCAATCCAAAACTTGTTTGGGAAACCTCTCCTCCGACATTCTTTGCACATGTCTATACCAGCATAATTGCCTGGACATGACGTCGTGCACGATATATTTTTCAACCTTCATCACCTGGCTATTTTGATCAGCTTTCTTATTTATTTGTCCATGGAATCTGTGTTGATCGGTTCTCGTTTTTATTCTTCGTTCGATTCATTTCGATCACATACACATCCTTTCGTTACCTGCAGACTTCCTATCATACTCTTTTTTTAAACTGAAAAATTCGCCTTCTGCTGCGTCTGTAGCAATTGTTGTTACGAATATGCTGTGCGTGCTGATTATAGGTCATTACATACTCGACTCTCTGAAGGCGTTTTTTTTTGCACAAGTAGTGCAATCTGTTGGAGAACGAACGAGTTAGGGATTAATCGATTCGTTCAATCTCACTTCTGTTGTTCTCCAACAGGGTGCTCTACTTCCGTACATTAAACGCCTTCGAAGAGTTAAGTATGTAACAAGCTGAAATCAGCACGCACAACATATCCGTAACAACAATTGCTGCGGACAAAGCTGAAGGCGGATTGAAAACAACCGTATAAATCAAGTACATTACCTCACGCTGATCTCTTTAATTAATATTGTTCCCAATAGAGAGTTGTATTTTATGGTTATTTTACGGGGGATTCTGGAAACAACTTTCAACTTAAAATAAAACATGCGATGTGATTTATGCTCAAATTACACAGCGGGTAAGAAGGCTGATTTTCACGTAAATATCACAAGAACGTTTCTGCTGAAAAGTCAACCTTCCTCAATTGGATAAAGCAATAAAAAATTGTACAAATCAAAAAAAGAAGTACTTGGCTATACCTTTCAAAGCGAGAACAATACTATCATGCAATTTTCTCTCCGGAGAGAAAAGCATCCTCTCGGGAGAGAGAGGTATCCTTTCGGGAGAGAAAATCATCCTCTAGGGAGAGAAAAGCATCCTCTAGGGAGAGAAAAGTATCCTCACGGGAGAGAGAAGTATTCTCTCGGGAGAGAACACTATCCTCTCGGCATAGAAAAACATTCTCTCGGGAGGGCAAATTATTCCCTGGGGAGAGAAAACTACTCTCTCGGGAGAGAAAACTACTCTCTCGGGAGAGAAAACTACTCTCTCGGAAGAAAAAACTACTCTCTCGGGAGAGAAAACTATTCGCTCGGGAGAGAATATTACTTGCTTGGGAGAGCAAACTATTCGCTCGGAAGAGATAACTATTCGCTCTGGAGAGAAAACTATCCTCTCGGTATAGAAAAACATTCTCTCGGTATAGAAAAACATTCTCTCGGGAGAGGAAACTATTTTCTCGGGAGAGAAAACTATTTTCTCGGGAGGGAAAACTATTTCTTGGGGAGAGAAACTATTTACTCGGGAGGGAAAACTATTCCTTGGGGGGAGAAAACTATTTACTCGGGAGGGAAAACTATTTCTTGGGGAGAGAAACTATTTACTCGGGAGGGAAAACTATTCCTTGGGGGGAGAAAACTATTTACTCGGGAGGGAAAACTATTCCCTGGGAAGAGAAAACTGTTTTCTCGGGAGGTAAAAATATTCCCTGGGGCGTTACTTGGCCACGACAGTAGCTATTCGGCGTTGGCCAAAAATATCGTTTCCAGCTGGTCTATATGTTGCCATCATCAAAACAGAGTTTCTTTGCCATTTAGAGTTTAAAAAATCTGAAAAAATCATGGACAGCTTAGTTCACTCTATTATTTCAGAGAATGAACTTTGAAAAATCAACACGACTGACCCATTGGTTATTTTGCTTTTTCCGCAGATCTTCATTTTACTTTCCTCTGATCAGTTCGGAAGCGCTGATCCTCAACGATAAAATGGAGGGAATCATCGAGCGATCTGTGGTCGCCGGTAAGTCGCATACTATTATCTGAGCAAAAGTGCATGCAACCATAGCAATACCTTGAAGATTACTTCTGTTTACCTTGATCTCCCGTTATATAAATGAGAGTTAACATAATCATAATGAAAACTGTTTTTCTAGGGGTCATATTCCATGCTACTTGGGCTCGATACCGCTAAGATTGTGCGGTTTTTCCTGCTTTAGTTGTGAGCGGCAACTTTGAAAGATTGCTCGTATTAAGGTCATCAGTAGCGTCTATAATCGATAGGGCCCTTTCATCAAACTGTACGAAAATGCAACTCAACGCTGAGCCCTAACACTTTTGGTAAAATACAATAAAAAGGAATTTAAAAAGCGGGTCACAAGGCTAAAATTTCACGAACAAGACCAAAACGTTTCGACTGAAAACTCAGTCTTCCTCAGTTGGATAAAACATTAAAAAAATTGTAAAAATCTAAAAATAGTACGTGGCTGTACCTTTGAAAGCGAGAAGAATGTTCTTGTATCATGTTGCTTAGGTGAAATAGCGTCAACTACATGCAGTAGTGCTGAGCCCTACAGCTGCAGGATCCACTCTACTGCCTGTAGTAGTAGCTATTAGTAACTAAGTAACGCTATTCTACCTTAAGTGTTGAAGCTCAGCGCTAAGCTGTTTTATCCGTGTGGCAAAATTTTCAACACGAGGTCTTTGATAAGTTCAATTTCGCTTTTTGACCATCGAAATGCATCCATCCCAACATTTATCATAAAAAGCACTGTATCTGCATAGTGCTCACTTTTCCTTTTTCGCCTGATGTGAATTTCGAAATTTGGATTGTGGCGCCACCGGTGACAGCACTCTATGCAATGTTTTAACGTCCGTTTCGTTTTATTTTAGTTCGTTCTTCGTTTTTATAATCACCTAATGATGGATGATAAAGCCGAAATGGCCATCGTGTTCCAAGTTTTAGATTGACAATCGAAATTTCACATCGGGCGAAAAAGGAAAAGTGAGAACTATGCTAATACGACCCGATAAAAGTGGAAAAAGAAACATTGAACTGTATCTCTTCGGTTGTGGTCGAGTAATTTCCAACTTATGTATTTTTCCATGCATGGGTATTGTATTCATAGGAAAGCTGTAATCTGAATAAATGTGGATTTTATTTCAGGTATGAAATTTGCGGAGATCGCAGTTGCAGATTCTCTATTTTTAGGAGTGGTGTATATACTCCAGATGATCATTACGATGGTGGTTTTGTACGGGGTCTTCCATAATCCGTTCAAGGGTGACGTCGCCATTTCATTGGCCATTCTCTTTCTCGCTGGTGTTCAAGGAATCTTTTTCGGTATGTTCAGAGTATGTGTATATGTTAGCGTTAAAGTATGTAATTCAGTTAATGTATACATTAACTAGTTAAAGTATGCATTAACTGAAGCAGCCAGTTAAAGTGTGTAATTAGATTTTTATTACACTTTTTAACTAGTTATTTTATAGAATAACTAGTTAAAACTCATAAATTAACTGGGACGTGTCAGTTAAAGTATAAAAAGGGAGGAATCTTTGAGCCCCACTTTCGGAGGACATCCAAACATCATCGCCTCAAAAGGCAAAAGGGCTTCTTTTGATTCCCGAATGGAAGACCCTGTTTTTTTTTAAATTGGACAAGGCACCTTTGAGAATTTCCTCTACTGACTCAAAAATATTTACAGGAGATTTCAAGGAGATATTTTGGGTAATTATCCGTCTAATAAAATAAAACATCATCGAGGATTCTTAAAAGTTGCTTCAAGTCTACGTATTTCTCGATTTTATTCATCGACACTTCATTCATAACGGGACTACATTTTACAAAAAGGAATCACAATATCTGGCTCATAGATAAAATCACCTATCTGCATAGGGAAATTAATGACACGTGTGTTGTTTTTAAAATGAGGCAGGAATTGTAGTTCCTAATTGCAAAATGTGATCCAATTGAGCTTCAAGTTCTACATGAGAAACTCCTGCGATTTTTCAAATTCCCTCCACCTTCATGTATCGCTTATTGCATACTTTGAATATGAAGGCGTTTTTAACATCCACACTACCGAAGTCATTAACTCAACGCAGGTATGCTTTTTAGTTTCTTCACACATGATCTGGCTCACTCGTCAATTCAATTTTATGTTGCAGGAATTCTAATAGCACTGAACAGTAATTCTTATACGGAGGGGGCCTATCTAGGAATCGGGAGCAATCTGGTCCTAACTTTCATCAGCGGTAAGTCACACGGTCAGCGGTATGCCGTTTTCTAACTTGGCAAAAACTCTTTTGATTTTTTCGCCTAAATATCCCCCCCCCCCCAAAAAAAAACGAAAAAAACGGGAGCCTCTCGAGAGGAGGTGGACAGACCCATTCTGCCGTGCTGAGGAAAAACGCTGTATGAGCCTTTGTCGATTGCCAAATTTCCCTTGATTAAATAAAAATCTTCACGAAAACTCGTGAATATTTTCCGTTCAATTTCTTTGAAGAATTATCCTATTAATTAAATCTAAATTATCAGAAAATGTCAGGAAAAAATATCAATAATCTCCTCAAAAATAAACATTTCATTGGAGGAAATTTGGTGACTCTCGAATTTTCATACGACGTTTTTCATTCAAGTTAAGACTTTCGTTCACGAAACAGCGGCCCGATATTTTAATCCATGTCGACACGGCAAGACAAGACATTGCCCTATCCTAATAATGCAATATATCGAATTCCGATGTCTTCTCATCATTGCCAAATCAATACATATAGACCGTTGAGGCCACGCGCCGCGCCTAGTGACGGCAAATTGGGGGAGGGGGGGGGGAATTTAGGAAGAGGAAAATGAATAACGAAGGCGGCGCGGCAAAGTGGCGATTCAATAAAGAAGAATCAAGTGCAAGATGATGACTAAGAAATACTGCAAAATAATTGATGAAAAAGTCTGCCTTAAAGAAAATGTTTCGGGTACGTAATTTATGAAAGGCATAAACCCCCCCCCCACCCATTACCGCGCTCCGACAATTCGTGGGGGTGGCAAAATCTTGACGAACGAGGGGCAAAAGCGCTTCACGTCTCAGACTTTATGCATCATATGTTAATCTTACTAGTTTACATATTATATTTTATCGATTTTTGTTTGTAATATGTTTTTAAAGAAAATCAAACAACAGTTTTTCTCTTACAAATGTTTGTTGAATGTCTTCATTCATTCAAAAATATTCACAGGAACTTTAATTTATTTAAGAGAAATATTTTAGTTAGTTTCTCACTCCTATGACGTTGAATTGCTGACTTGGCGATGCACATTTTTTCACTGTGGCCATCGGTACGTCCCGTTTGCTTAGCATCATCCGTCCATCCATTCAAGTTAAACGTTTTCTGCACTGAAATGTCATTTCTTTTAAACTTGGTATTTATTGTCCTTCTTTACATAGAAATTTCAAGAAATTGTATTGATCCAAATTTCATTTTCTTCTCATTTTCAGGTTTGGTGTGGCCGATTGAGTCTCATCATTTCCTGCTGAAATTAGTTAGTCCATACTTTCCACTCGTTCTTCCGACGGAAGGGCTGCGAGCTGTGACAGCCAAAGAGTGGGGAATAGATCATCCGGTAGTTATCAAAGGATTTCAATCCTCGTTCATTTGGTGTTCTATTTTCATAATTGGTGTTTTCCTAACTTTAAAGTTTAAAAAGAATGCTCTGATTATATATAAGTGAGAACATAACTTGTGTAAATAAAACATTTAGCTCATACCTTCTTCCATATAAAATGTGAATGGAAGAGAATGGAAGATTAAGGAATAGTTGTCTATCAGCAACGGAAATTTTGTAAAGGGACATGTGCAGTAGGTTTTAACTGCTCACATATACCTTCCCACCAGTCAAAGGAACGTAATGACATTCCGAGATTGTAAAATTAACGCAAATATTCAATGTTTTACGAGGAATTGTCTGCTTGCTTGTGTGTGATTAAAAGGTGCATTAGCATTTTCAGTTATAATACACGTTGAGAGGGAAATTTTTCAATGTTGATGTGTAATTGCGTTGATATTTCCGGGAACTGGTGACATGTTGGATGAAGATGTCACGATCTCCGGAAAGAGCGACTTTTGCAAGAAAATGCTGAATACTCCATTAAAATTCAAAGGCAGTGAAGGGTGGTTTTGAATTCTTCCGCAGATAGACTTCTTCTGTGTCATGTAGCTCCCATCTGGAGCAACGCAATTTTACTTAAAATAAGTCTATCTCACTCTCTGTGTACTCCACGCTGAGTTCTGTAGACCTCTGGCACACGCATGTGTCCAAATAATAAGCGACGTTTAGCAAAATGGAACTGAATATTTTTGGAGAAGAAATTTGGTTCCTTTCAGCTGAATAGCGCTTGCATAAATACACGAACAACCTTGATTGCTCTTCAACATTCATCACATAAAGAAACAAAGATTGATCGGAGAATCCCATCAGCAGTTACCACAAGCATCTTTATATGCAATTTTGATGCTGTATAATGATAATTGACGGGTCGACAACAGCACAGATTTTGTATGTAATAAAATGATGAATATATTGAAATAAATGTACATATTAGATATACTAAAGTTGAAGCCCCAACGGGCTCAGAATGAGGGAGAAAAACATCGATTCATGGCGGAGTCCCAATTCACTCTTTGTTTTATCATTTTTTTTAATTATCTTAAAAGTCTTTTAAGGGCATGAACGTAAATTTAGACTTTGTGAGTCGTTTTCATTCATGTCATTGAATGAAACTCAGCGATACCTATAATGCATTCAATACTCGTCTTTCATCAAATTGAGTATTCATCGCATCCATTAATCATTGCACATTGTGTCGTTCTCTTATTGAATTGCTCGATCGCTCGAAAATCAATCATTCAACTATCGATGAAATCTATAATTGGGATAACTTTCGTTATACTTAAAACCTTCAGAGTCCGACATATTGTGAAAATGTAAAAACAGATTTCGATAGAGAAAGTCAAACACGTGCATCTGCATTCTGCACTGAGATGCTTCAAAATTACATCTTTTTGTTTAATTTCTTTAAAAAAATTATAATAACGTCACTGCTTGAAATTTCTGCTGATTATTTTTTAGAGAGATATTAGATCGAAACATTATTCATTATATTTTGTGGTACAGTTTTCAAGATAAAATGCCCGCTCATTTTCCACTGAAAATGAAAGCCTGCAACTTGGCAAATCGGAATACTTGTTTTTCACCTTCACCGTCTAAATTCCGTACCACAATGATCCATTTATAGGTATTCCTCCTTTTTTTATACTTCGAATATTTATTTGTTTTATATTTAACTTATTACCTATTGATTTTAAGTCAAAAGTATGTTTGTAGTCATTTTTCAGTCAACTTGTATTACAGGACTTCTGAAATTTAAATTATTTTTAATAAAACTTTAATTGTTTCTATATTTCATTCATTCTATACACACCCTACTCCGTAATTTATTGGGACTCCACGGACAAAAATTGCATTCGCAACGGTTGTTTGCTCATTGAGAAGTATATATTAAAAATTCCTAAAGAACCTCAAAATGCAGACGAGAGAGCATCGTGTGAATGAAAGTAGGTATGTGGTCCGTTGGATTATATACTGCCGTGCTAAGGAAAAACGCCCTATGAACATTCGAGAGTTGCCAAATTTCCTTCGATAAATTGTTTCTTTTTGAGGAAAGTTATGAATAATCATTAAAGCTGATGGGCGAAGTGATAAAGAAAGGAGAAATGGGGCGACTCGATTGGTTGAAACGAATTGTTGTTATAAACGTTAACGAGTGGATACATTAATCGCTTACATCGAGTTTTTGCGATTTTTTAGGAAAATCAATGATATATTGGTATTGAAATTGGTTATTCTCCATCCGAGAACAACCAAATTTTGGGTTGGAACACATTTCCGGTCGGGTCGATTTTCGAGATTCGCGTTTTGGGCACTAAGAATCGACACTTCATCAGGAGATACGCATGTTTGCAATTAGTGTTTTAAACTTGTTGGTGGATTTGGATCATTTAAAGACTGAAAAAAGGGTTTCACACTTAAAAGTCCTTATCAGATAAAGATTTAGTTGGTCATTGATGCTCCATCCATCCATGCTTTACGCATTTCTAATGGACCAGTGGAAAAAGTACCTTTTCTTCAATTTCAATTATTCACAGTTAATCAAAGAAAGCTCAATTTATCCGTGCGAAACTTTTTAAATTCACAACCGCTTTTGAGTAAGTTGCGATCTTGTAAACGGGGACTCTTTCAGTTTCGCTTCAGAATATGATGACCAAGCCAAGGGACTTGAAATACACGGTCTGATCCAGCCGCCGGCGCTCTCTTCTTTGAAATAAGACGTAGAGACCAAAAACAATCTTATTGTTTTTTCAAAATAATATTTCTCGGAATTTTTTGAATATGCGGCTCGATTTAAAACCGAAAATTATGAACTTTTTGGTCAACATCATTGAACAAGGCCACTCACAATGGATACAGAAGAGCGCCTTCAAATCCATCCGTAAAATTAATGCAAAATTCTGATACCACTATTCGTGCATCACGGCAGTCATTTTGTATACCCGGCCATTTGAAGGCGAATCATTGACTTCAGGCAACGGGGTACGAATTACAGCAATGTCATTCGATATTCTTAGGGGAAAAAACTCCGGAGGTGACCCATCTGCAACTCAACCCTCGCGGTGGCCCCACCTGGCAACTAAGGAGCCAAAGCCGGGGGCCGCCGGCCGCCCACCTGGCCCCTAAGGAGCAAAGCCGGGGGCCGCCCACCTGGCCCCTAAGGAGCCAAAGCCGGGGGCAACCCACCTGGCCCCTAAGAAGCCAAAGCCGGGGGCCGCCCACCTGGCAACCAAGGAGCCAAAGGCGGGGGTTCGGATATTAGATAATTTATATCGTGTAATATTTACCAAATCATAATGAATTTCGTAAAATATAAACCTTTAACGAGCAAAACATCTTAAAGACGATGAAATTCAGGGTGGGCACAACAGCCTTTATAGATACCCCGCCTTTGAAAATGGTGGGTGAAAATGTGGGTTCACTCTTTTTTATGAATGCTAGCTCTTTTGTGAGGTATATAACTCACACTGGAAAATCGATATGAATGAAATAATGGAAAATTTAAACCCGTAAAGTTTGTCGGAAGACTATTTCAGAAATTGTGGCAAACTGCAACAGTTTTTTTTTTCTTTTTCTTTTTTTTCTTTTTTTTTGCGTGGCGCCACGGGCCGTGGCTATATAAATGTATTCGGTTTTATAATTCCGAAACTCTCCAAAGGATCTCGACTTCAAAATTTGGACTGCATTTTGCAATTAGAAACTACAATAACTAGCTTCTTTAAAAACAGGCTATGTGACATTAGTCTCTGAAAAACGTTCTTTAATCGGCGGAGTTTTGGTTTTTTACCTTTTGCCGAATATTGTGATCCTAATTTGTTTGCGTGTAAAGAATATACCGTAAAAAGTGCAACATTACAGACATAAATCATCGTTTTTTAGTTCTACCGCCGATGCAATGATAGCATTTTCAAACGTACATCATGTTAAATACTTTAACGATAGAAATGTCTCACAGCTCTCATGCTTGCACAGGATTGCTTACGGCGCTGCGAGCAACTATTACGGCATAGAAGTGTTGCACGGTATCAAGTGAAATTGAAGGCGCATCAACGGTCGATCCCATTACAATATCCTGCGTAGTTTCAACATTTCCGCCCTTATTTAATTTTTTCGATGGGAAGCAATCCGACGTTACAACTCGATTTTTATGCCAGATATTCTGTCAACAGAGAGGAAACGACGGAAATGATTTTCCGCACGATCCCGACTTTTGGCGAGACTTCCTGAGCCGAGATACAGTGAAAAACTAGTAAAAAACGAGCTTTTCAGACCAATTTTTGACTCTTCCTCTGGAGCGTTCTCAGCGGATAACTCGAAGCTAGGGACTCGCGAAGCTTTTCCGACTAGAAAATGTCACTCAGCGGGTCAATTCCAAGCGCGCATTCTTGGTTTCAACCAGATCGGTGAACTTTCGATTTTGACGCTAAAAAATTTAGTCCATGTAACCCCTGTAGATTTTTCTCGATTTGGGATTGAGAAAAAACATTTCGAGATTTCAGTCGCATCGTACGCAGGTGGAGGCGTAGAATCGATTTCGCACGGTCCCGACTCTTGGCGAGGCTTCCGGAGCCGAGAAACATTCAAAAATAGGTAAAAAACGAGCTTTTCCCACCACTTTTTGACTCTTCCTCTCGAGCGTTTTCTGCGGATAACTCGAAGCGAGGGACTCGCGGAGCTTTTCCGACTGGAAAATCGCACTCAGCGGGTCATTTTAAAGCGGCCAAGCTTGCTTTCGGCTCGATCGGTGAACTTTCGATTTTGACGCTAAAAATTTAGTCCCTGTCGATTTTCCTCGATTTTGGACTGAAGAAAAAAAATCGAGATTTCAGTCGCATCCTACGTATTTGGAGGCGTAGAATCGATTCCGCACGGTCCCGACTCTCGGCGAGAATTCCTGAGCCGAAAAGCAGTCAAAAACTGGTCATAAACGAGCTTTTCAGACCAATTTTTGACTCTTTCTCTGGAGCGTTTTCAGCGAATAGCTCGAAGCGCGGGACTCGCGGAGCTTTTCTTATTGGAAAATCGCACTCAGGGGTTCATTTGCAAGCGGCCAAGCTTGCTTTCGGCTCGATCGGCGAACTTTTGATTTTGACGCTACAAATTTAGTCCATGTAACGCCAGTTTTAATTTGGAGTAAAACTAGTCTTAATGCGTATTACGTGAAAAATTCGCTCCCAAATTCCAATTTTTAAGCATCAAAATGTCAGTTTGAACTTTTATTCCGCCATAAGGATCCATGTATAATTTCGAAACTTCAAACACGTATTTCTCGAAATAGGAGAAACTGCACTTGTGCGCCATGTGCGCCTTGTCCTCCAAGCCAATCGATTATCTCGTGACGTTGACTCCTTTGCATCTGAGCTCGCTTGGAATTGACCCGCTGAGTTTGATTTTCGAGTCGGAAAAGCTCCGCGAGTCCCTCGCTTTGAGCTATCCGCTGAAAACGCTCCAGAGAAACAGGCAAAAAGTGGTCGGAAAAGCTCGTTTTTGACCACTGTTCTTTGGCTCAGGAAGCCTCGCAGAGAGCCAAGACTATGCGAAATCGATTCTACGCCTCCAACTACATAGGATGTGACTGAAATCAGAAAATGTTTTTCTCAGTCCCAAATCGGGAAAAATCGCAGGGATTACATGGACTAAATTTTTATCGTCGAAATCTATAGTTAGCCGATCGGGTCGGAACCAAGTAAGCTCGCTTGGAATTGACCCGCTGAGTGCGATTTTTGAGTCCGAAAAGCTCCGCGAGTCCCTCGCTCAGAGCTATCTGCTGAAAACGCTCCGGAGAAAGAGTCAAAAAGTGGTCAGAAATGCTCGTTTTTTACCTGTTTTTGACTGGTTCTCGGCTCGACAAAATCAAAAGTTCGCCAATCGGACCGACACCAAGTAAGGTAACTTGGAATTGACCCGCTGAGTGCGATTTTCCAGTCGGGAAAGCTCCTCGTGTCCCTCGCTACGAGTTTTCCGCTGAAAACGCTCCGAAGAAAGAGACAAAAAGTGGTCGGAAAAGCTAGTTGTCGACCAATTTTTGACTGTTTCTTAGCTCAGGGAGCCTCGCCGAGTGTCGGGACCTTGCGGAATCGATTCTTCGCCTTCAACTACGTAGGATGCGACTGAATCTCGAAATTTTTTTCTCGGTCCCAAATCGAGAAAAATCGACAGGGGTTTACGGGGACTAAATTTTTAGCGTCAAACTCTAAAGTTCGCTGATCGGGCCGAAACCAAGTAAGCTCGCTTGGAATTGGCCCGCCGAGTGGGATTTTCCAGTCGGAATAGCTCCGCAAGTCCCTCGCTTAGAGCTATCTGCTGAAAACGTTCCGGAGAAAGAGTCAAAAAGTGGTCAGAATTGCTCGTTTTTGACCAGTTTTTGACTGTTTCTCGGCTCAGGGAGCTTCGCCGAGAGTCGGGACCGTGCGGAACTGATTCTACGCCTCCAACTACGTAGGATGCGACTGAAATTTCAAACGTTTTTTCTCATTCCAAACTCGAGAAAAATTGACATGGGTTACATGGACTAAATTTTTAGCATCAAAATCGAAAATTCGCTGATCGGGCCGAAACCAAGTGAGCTCGCTCGGAATTGACCCGCTGAGTGCGATTTGCGAGTCCCTCGCTTGGAGCTATCTGCTGAAAACGCTCAAGAGAAAGGGTCAAAAAGTGGTCAGAAAAGCTCGTTTTTTACCAGTTTTTCACTGTTTCTCGGCTCAGGAAGCCGCGCCGAGAGTCGGGACCGTCATTTCAACATTTCCGTCCTTATATTTAATTTTTTCGATGAGAAGCAATCCAACGTTGCAA